AAGTTTTACATGTATGTAGCGCGCATGTTAACCCCAATGTCGTGTGGCTGCGTGCGTTGTGAAGTTTTACATGTATGTAGCGCGCATGTTAACCCCAATGTCGTGTGGCTGCGTGCGTTGTGAAGTTTTACATGTTTGTAGCACGCATGTTAACCCCAATGTCGCGTGGCTGCGTGCGTTGTAAAGTTTTACATGTTTGCAGCACGCATGTTAACCCCAATGTCGCGTAGCTGCGTGCGTTGTGAAGTTTTACATGTTTGTAGCATGCATGTTAACTCCAATGTCGCGTAGCTGCGTGCGTTGTGAAGTTTTACATGTGTGTAGCGCGCATGTTAACCACAATGTCGCGTGGCTGCGTGCGTTGTGAAGTTTTACATGTTTGTAGCGCGCATGTTAACCCCAATGTCGCGTGGCTGCGTGCGTTGTGAAGTTTTACATGTTTGTAGCACGCATGTTAACCCCAATGTTGCGTGGCTGCGTACGTTGTAAAGTTTTACATGTTTGTAGCACGCATGTTTACGCACACACCGTGCATCCCACTCCTCGTCTGAGATTATTCACGAACGAGTGAATTACACCGCTACACACGAGGTAAAATAAAATGCTGACGATTGTTATTTACATATTTTATCAGCACAGCTTCTACCCAGCAACGATGGCGAGGCTAGCACTAGCACTGTGCTGCATCGTTCTCAGTCTAGCATGGAGGTCTCATGCTGCTGACGACGCCGCAACGTTCTTCGGCAGTTTAGGAGGATCTGGATCGGATACAGCGCCATCCGGATCGGATACAGCGCCGCCTGCATCCGGATCGAATGCAGCGCCGCCTGCATCCGGACTCACTCCGCGTAAGCTATAATTCGCACATCAGCCGCCAGGTGCATGCACGCAAACATGCACGCACATACATACACACACATAGACTCCCAGGTGCATGCACGCAAACATGCACGCACATACATACACACACATACACACACTCACACACTCACGCACGCACGCACGCACATACATACACACACATACACACACTCACACACTCACGCACGCACGCACGCACATACATACACACACATACACACACTCACACACTCACGCACGCACGCACATACATACATACACATACACACACTCACACACTCACGCACTCACGCACGCACATACATACACACACATACACACACTCACACACTCACGCACGCACGCACGCACATACATACACACACATACACACACTCACACACTCACGCACGCACGCACGCACATACATACACACACATACACACACTCACACA